TAGAGGCAGGCTAGAGATGAGTGCTTGAGGTCTGGATAAAAGCGAATCAAAGGATGAAGCTGGAACAGGAAACTACAAATGGGGAACAGGGGCTCCCACGCCCAGGCCAAAAATCATGAAGGAAAAGTGGGGGAGATGTCAGAAGTGAACCAGAAGACCTTGGGGTTCCTCTAAAAATATAGCTTCCTTGGAAGACCACGGGAGAGAATACTGGCCCTGTCTGGTGTCTGAGAGCCTCCGCTCTGAATTTGTGTGAGTGAGTGTGCATGTCTGTATGCGTGTGTATATGTGCGCTTTAATTTATCCTCCTTTCTTTCGATGATTTCTTTATTAAAATTGCTTGTAAGATCCAGATCTTGGCTCAGTGTGAGCTTGAACAAGCTAATCCTAAGGCTCACTTTTATCACCTGAAATGGGGACAATAAAAGTGCCGTTTTACAGAATAAACGGGTCTGCAGCACTTAGCACAGTGCTTGTTTAAGTACACAGTCATTGTCGGTAACCATCGTTTTTTTAACCTATCTTCTTTCTTCCTTTTACTCTAGTTCACTTCCTCACTTCCTTAAACCCACCAAAGTTTCAGATGATGTTACTCGGCGTTGCCCAGGACCCGTCCTGTAGAAAGGGTTGTCTTGGAGTGGTAGAGATAGGAGTATGCATGAATAGTGGGGGGGTGGGGTGGAGATGGGGGGGCGGGTCCTCTTGAAGATGTTGGACTAGTGTAGCAGCAAAGCTGTCCCCCAAATGTAACGTCTATCCAATAATATTTTACTTCCTGTATGAGGGGTCTATCAGGTGGGACCAGGGTGCTCGGTGGTAACCAGCAGAGACCTGATAGTATGATTGTTGGACCAGGGTGCTCAGTGGTAACCAGCAGAGACCTGATAGTATGATTGTTGGACCAGGGTGCTCGGTGGTAACCAGCAGAGACCCGATAGTATGATTGTTGGAGCTGGTTGGTTTTGCCCAAAGTCGTAGATGGTGTGGGTTTTCTGTTAACATCCGTCAGAGAGGCGTGGTTGACAACTTATTTATAATAAACTTGTCTCTGAGAGATTTTAAGATCTCTTATGACCTTCCCATGTATATATTTGCTTTAAAAGAAAATATACTCACTGTCACCCTGTGATTTCACGGTCTTTCAGAGTTTACAAAGAGTCTCACTAGATGGTCCATTAATATCTCAGACTTGTTGGGCTGATGATGGGAAGAGATGGAGAAGACAGAGGATGAGTTTTCGTGTTGGACAGTGTGGCTCTCAATAATAATTTCTCTACTTACCAGTTGCGTGACCTTGGGCAAATGACTTGATCTCACCAAGCCTGAGTTTTCTTATCTCATGAAATTAATACCTCTCTCCCAGAGGTGCTGTGAAGATTAAATGGGGTGAAACACATTAGATGTCCATCACAGTATCTGGACCTGACCAAACGCATCATCAATGTGGATCCTATTGCTAAATCTCTCAACATACTCAGGGCGAATTCAAGCCTCGGATAAAATGATCTTTAAGTAACTGTCCGCCCCTAAGATTCTATGACATTAAGGTTGCAAACTACGTGGGAACACTAAGAAATCATATGCCTTCAGTTGCAGATATGCTGCCTCTTCCTGTCTTTTACTGTAAATCATTGCATAATGGGGAACACCAGTCACCTGACCTCTCAGGACTTGACATTTTTCAAGTGTTAATGGGATGTTTTGATTTATGTGACAATGGTGAAAAAATGACTGCTGATATTTTAAAATAAAGGGCATTATATGTTCTTAAGTAATTAATCAAGATGCTTTTGCCACGTAAGAATGGATTGAAACTGCAGTGCAAAAATGGAATCCTGGCTTTGGAGACCAAGATGGCTATGTTCAAATTCTGGTTCCTCCAAGGAGCTAGTGACAAATCTCTCTAACTTCTACTTTGCTTATTGATAAAATAGCGGTGATAATCTCTACCCACTGTGTCTTATGAAGATTAAATGAAATAAAGCACATAAAGAACTTCCAAAGAAAAAATATATAATAAAAATAAATAAATAAAAAGAAAGAAAACACATAATGTTCCTGCCAATGAGCCTAATTACGATGCTGAAAGAGTGGATTAACAAAATAATTGCAGTTAGTAGACATACCTCCATTAGACTGGAATTTCTCAGTTTTGAAACTTTTCTAATAATACAAGAATGAGAAGTACTCAGTAAATCATTTTGCTGGACACTGGATGTGCTTCCTTTTACTGTAAAATAGGATTCCATAAACTTTGTCTGTAAAGAGCCACAATTACGATGCTGAAAGAGTGGATTAACAAAATAATTGCAGTTCGTAGACATACCTCCATTAGACTGGAATTTCTCAGTTTTGAAACTTTTCTAATAATACAAGAATGAGAAGTACTCAGTATATCAGTTTGCTGGACACTGGATGTGCTTCCTTTTACTGTAAAATAGGATTCCATAAACTATGTCTGTAAAGGGCCAAATAGTAAATATTTTAGGTTTTGTTGGCCATATGATCTCTGTTGCAACTACTCAATTCTGCTGCTGCATGAAAATAGTCATAATAGGTAAATGAGTAGGTTTGGCTGTAAAACTACTCACAAAAGCAGGCAATAGGCTGGATGGATTGGGTTTGTGGGACATATGTTTGCTAACGCATGCTTTAGAACACTGACTTAGCTAACAATATCTATTAAACACCTACAGTGTTTAAAATACTGTCTTTGAATTGTTTGAGATACAGATAAGAATCAGGGACTTTTATGGGGAAGTAAACACAAATTTGAAACCAAAATCAATCTTTTCTTTTTTAATTACTAGAAAATAATTGGCCAGAAGTAGGTTTTAAAAAAATGTCGACAAGATAATAACTAAGAAGGCATATCCTGTGTTAAATCTCGATTTTTGCAAATTTCTTACTGTGTGACTTTGAGCAAATCATTCAAGGATTCTAAGCATCGATTTTCTCTAGAGCTAGCAAATGGAGATAACAGTATCTGTCTCCCAAAGTTTTGGGGAGAATTAAATAAGATTGCCCACAGAGCACATAGCAAATTGATTGGCACTTAGTAAGCAGTAAATGCACGTTAGTTACTGTCTTTCAGAAGATTGAACAAACATGAGCAGTCACTGCAAGCGTGTCCTCCCCACTCAAGTCACAGTGGAACAAACCACAGTCTGACTCTCTGCTCATCTTAAGGATCGTGAGCAGCTCTTTCTTTGGGAAGATGTCCCCACAGTCATAGAATTGTTATAATATACAGTCTGTACCTGTATTCATGACTCAATTTTCTGCCAGTGTTTAGGCATTGTGATCACGAGCTTCTCTTTGCAGAATTAGTTCCTGCCTCCTATCATTCTCACAGTAGATTTGTTCACTGCTGTAGTGCAGCACAAAGTTCTCAGTGGACAAACACGATGTTGAGGTTTGATTCTACGAGAAATGTCACGTACCACAGCTTCCCACGTTGTCGCAATAATCGTTTCCCTATCAACTTCACATTTTCTGTTGCCACTAGTCTGTAAAGGTTATTAGGATACAATCTATGAATTTTAATTATTCTCAACGTGCATCCAAGACTATTGTCAATAATACATCCTTATCCGTTTAATTCTAAAAGGATTTACTCCCTACGATGAAACCCTCTGGCATGCCTGCTCTTTGCTTTGCTCAGCCTTTCAGCACCACTGTCTAAAATAAACTGTGTTGCTTTCTAGGCTCACTGATGATCAGAAAAGAATAACACTGCTTCATTGTTATTAGGTTAAACTATAAAATTTGCTGTTCTTTTGTAGGTCAAATGGTTGACTATTAAGAATTTTACATGGAATAACCTAAGGCTATTGTTGTTATTATCATATAGTGATCACAGTTTTTGTTTAGACTTTAAGCTGAAAATGAATTCCCACCACTGGGGGAAATATTGATGTTATGATCCTTCTTGTGTATTGCAATTAAATATCTATCTCTTTCAGCTTTAGTTGCAACAACTTAAAATAACCACTGTTTAATCACGTTACATTCAATAATATATAAGTACTTTACATATTGTCAGTTCATTAGTTCAACAGGTGCTATATAATATCTGTAGTACACTTTTATTAACACCAAGCTAAACAAAAGAAGGCATGTGTTTTTAGAAGCACATAGTAGGTTAAAAATATGTGGGGAAGCAGGGGTAAATTCTAGGGGAGCATATCGAATAAGTTTACTAACTCGTTCTAGAAGAGTAGAGGCAGATTTAACAGAGTGATTATGCAGATGGATCCAATCTGTCACGCATCCCCGTATCTACCTCCTTTTTTTTCAGTGACCGTGTGCAGCTTCTCATATCAAGAGGTAGAATCTATTTGTTCACTCCTTGACTTTGGGCTGGCCTGGCAACTTGGCTTTGGTGAATAGAAGACCGCAGAAGTCACATTGTGTCAGGTTTGGACCCTTTCCCACATCCACTTGCTTTTGATGGGGTTCAGGAAATGCTACCCCCAAATAATGATACCTTGGCATGTCGACTGTTTTAAGCTGGAAGAGTTTGAGGGAATGGCGGAAACAGGAAGGTCGCTGTGAACTCCTCCCCTCCTCTCCCTTTCTTTCCTGAAACAGGCTATAAAACACTCATGTGAGGGGTGCCCTCCCTAATCCCAGATAAAGGAGCATCCTTATCTCCCGAGATGAAGGGACATCACGAAGAATCCTAACAAATGGTTCTTGCTAAGTTTCCCCCAATTTACTGCAGTTTCCTCCTACTTCTCAACCTGCCACATTCCTCCCCCACTGTCCACTCTTCATCAAACCCAGCATAAAATACACACATCTGTTTCTTTGGGTCTGTATTTCCTCTTGAAGACTCCTGTGTCATGTAAAACTTGTATTAAATAAATTTGCATGCTTTCCTCTTTTAATATGTCTTTGTCAGTTTAGGGTCCCAGCTAGGGACCCTAAGTAGGTAGAGGAAAACTTTTTCCTCCTCTACAGTTTCACAGAATCTTACCCAGTTTCCCTTTGTACAGCCCAGCCTGACCTGGAGGATGAGAAACCATGTGGATTATAACTGAGCCATCCCACACCAGCCAGCCCCCAGCTGACCTGGCTGGCAGTCAACTGCAGACATACAGGTGAGCCCCAAGTCACCTAGCTGAGCCCTACCCAAACTGCTGATCCACAGAATCATGAGTCCCTAAGGTGTGGAATAGTTGGTTAAATAGAAAATGTTTACTGATAGCTCTCAGAAAGGAAGTTAGATTTTAGCTAGATCTTGAAATTAAAAAAAAAGACTGCTAGATAAAGAAAAAGGAATTGGTAATTCAAGACAGGGTAAGCATTACAGAGATAGGCTTAAATCCATGAAAAAGCTTATTTTGTTCTAAGAAAGTGAGAAACCTAGTAAGTCAGGTTCATACTGATCATATGATGTAGAATATGGAATGTGTGTGTACATGTGTGTTTCAGCATGGTTATGCATGTTTGGAAAATTGGTATAAAAATATGATGAAAGTGAATCTGGAAAAGCAGATTCAGACAAGACTGAAAGAAAAAAGATCTTGTGGAACGAGCTTATGAAATGAGTTTTGTCTTGAATGTTTCCCCCTGTAAATTCTGGGGAAAGAGAATTAGAACATGAAGAGAAAGAGCGACTAGTCAGTGAGAGACCGCCGCGTGCAAGTACTCTGGCGGGTGCTTCTATGCCCGTCACCTCTAACGGTCCTCTCGTCACCTTTAGGGATACTGCGCCAATTTACAGAAAGAGAAAGTCTTAGAGGTAGGGGACCGTATACCCTGCTTTGCCAGGACAGTCTTGACTTACACCTGTTTTCTCGGCAGACAAAAATGTCCCTTTCAAAGTCAAAAAGTTCACCTTTAGATGACAAGTTATATTTTTGTCCTACTTAGAGGTTATGTAAATTGCCTGACTTACAAAATTTACAAAGTGGCAGACCCGATGTTTGAACCTGCGAGTCATATTAATATCAATTATTGTATTCAAATGACAGTACCTCTCACAATGTTTGGTGCATATAGGTGCATTAAATATTTGCTTAATATTTTATTTTTAAAAAGATTTGGGGATGAATATTTTTATCCTGTGGAATATTTCTCTGGCATGATCCTTGGAGTTGGGAGAAAGCTTGCCTCAGTTTTTAGACAATCATATGGCCATAAGAATGCATCTTTTATACAAATTCAGATTCACCTGTATTGACACAAAAAAGAAACTTTTTAAAATGATACGTTGTGAAAATGTAGACAGGTTTGTGTGCTGCAGGTGCAAGGGCGGAAAGTTCAATCATTTTCACTCAACTTCCAATCACATTTGAAGACTTAGTTAAATCAGTCAACTTGGCATTGACTTTGTTCTTGAACGGTATCATGTCTGCCTTTCTCTGACAACGACCATAATTATCGAGTATATATACCTTCAGTCAATCAAAGCATGATTCTGACTCAAAAATTCAAAGCGATGTCATGGCACTTGACTTAAGTTTTGAAAATAGATCATATTCCCTTTGCCCAGTTGGGCTCATGTGTACCTCTCAGCAGACTTGACATTAATTGCTTTGTTCTAGGGTTGGTCTAGTGTGCTGTCACTTCTTTCTGATTATATTTTTCCTGGAGCTTTTTAGTACCCAAACTTGGCTTGCTCTATCACATACAATCGATGTTATACATGATCAGCAAATTAACAACACACTGCTCAAACAATTTCCTGTGGTTATGAGGCAGTCTGATCAGGAGCTGCTCTAAGGCTTCACCACAAATGAGCAGGTCTAATTTGAAAAATATATTAAAAAAAAAAAAAGATGAAGTTCTGCAGTGTAAAATATAATGCTGCTTTTATAGTGAGGACATGTGGACGTGGCATAGGTATGTTTACCGGAAGGGTTATCATTCTGGGAGCTGGGAGCCATGACCACACGGGTCTTCAGAAATCTGTACCCAGAAGGGCTTCCGGTTTGGGCTTCACAGGTGTTCCCTGAGCTCCTGCTGGGCAGTCCATGCTGTAGGTATAAAAAGCAGAGATGATTCTTGTCCACATGACAGTGAAGGCGGCACCACATCAAAGGGATCCTACTTAAAATCCTACACTCTAAACTTATTAAAGACAATTGATTGATTTGTTTTTGAAGACTAAATATTTGTTTTCAGATTATAAAAGGAAGGTATTTAGAAATTTGAAAAATTTGCAAAATTCAGAAAAGAATTAGCAAAAATTATCATCAGACTTGACAACTATTAAAATGTTAGTTATTTCCTTTAAATCTTTTCCCTCTGTTTATACACAGATGCATAGTTGTGTCATACTTGTGTTTACACTAGATCGATATCATTTATACATTTCTTTTTACTACATAGCATTAACCAAATGTGTGGATTTTTTAATCTATTAATGTTCTTTGCAAACATTTTACTGGCTTATGCTTTTCAAAGTTATGGAGGACATTTAGATTATTTTCAATCTTTATTATGAACTCTTTGAGAAGTATCTTAATACATTTGTGTTTGCATTTCTGATTATTTCTTTTATCTAGGTTATAGCATTGCTATTAATGGTTTCAAAGAATATGATCTTAAATGATTAGTTTTATATTTATATATTAATACTTGTTCATAATTTTTAAAAGTTTAATAATTCTGATGGTTTTCTGATTAAAATAGCATTAGATATTTTTTAAACTGAAAACAAACCTGGCTTTCTCCTTCTTAGGGGAAATAACTTTCAAAAGTTTTGTTCTTTTCTTATAGTATTTAACGTCACATCACCTAATAACATGTTTCTATTGCTGGATCGAAACTTTCCAAGATTAGACATCATTTAATGTCTTTCTGTAATGAAAGGCAAAGGTTTGGTTCTTGTAAAACGCTTATTTTTCTCCTCATCATTTCTTCAAACGCTGCTCTTCATTCATTGACATAATATAGTTATAGCAAATTGGTTGCATCAATATTTAATGTTTATGGTATTATGATTGTATCAATATTATTCACTGGTGTGCCAAAGTATATATGTTAGAACTCATTTTTTGAAAACTTTTAAATTTTTCCTGGAGCTCATCATTGCCTGTATTTTTAATTGGCGAATTTTCTATTTACCTAGGACCAACTCATCTTCACGTATTCTAAGAAAACTATAACATATGTGCATAGTCAAATATAATAAGGGAATATGTAAGAAAGTCTGTAGCTTATATTTTTTATGTCAGTGTTCCTCTTGGAGTCTTCTGACTCCAAGGCAAAACCCAATTCGTGGCAACCACTAATCTGTTCTCTTTCTTCATAATTCTGTCATTTCAAGAATGCTATATAAGTGGAATCATAGAATATAATCTTTTTAGGCTGTTGTTTTCAATCGGCATAATTCTCTTGCTATCTAAGTCAGTGTTTAGATCAGGGCTTTGTTCCTTGTTGTTACTGTGTGGTGTTTCATGATGCGGTTGTGCCACGTGGACGGCTTTACCATTTACCCGTCGAAAGACATCTGCGTCGCTTCCATTCCTCAGCTGCACGTACATACATTTTCCACAAAAGAGATCTTAATTTTCATCTCCAAAAACATTATAGTTAAATATGTGTCTGCTCACTGGTTTGAGTTGAAGTGTTGTGTAACATATCAATACCCGTGTCCCAGACCTTGCGTAGTTCTACCACTTAATGAATACTCAAAGTAAATTTGATTTCCGAATGTCATTTAAGATGTTCCAAGGCAGAAGAGTAACTGCCATAGGATTCCCGAGATCATTGTGTTTGAGGATGCCACCGTGCTTCACAGAGTAAAAAGGACTCACGGTGTCCTTTAAAGGGTACACGTGATATGGTCAAGCCACTCAGAGTGAGTGGGGAAGCTGCCACATCGCTTAATTAAAGGTATTTAGCAAGGAAAGTACATTAAAAAGAACTATGTGGATTGAGTTAGATAAGAAGCAGAGTTTGTGTTTATGAGTCAAGGGAAATGGGAAGGAAAGATAGATTGAGGCCAAGTTGAGCATGGCCTGGAATATCCAGCTAAAGATTTTGACATTTTTTTCTCATAGACTTTCAAAAGCCATGTCAGGTTCACGTTCAGAGAGGGACTGATGAAGGCTGCATGTAGTAAGTAACTTGGTGACATTTGCCACAAGATTGCAGTTATTTATGTCCAGGTGATGTGTATATCCTTGCCTGCAGTTGGAGAAATCTCAAGAGCTGTATTGTTTTTGGATAAGCAGTCACGACATCAGGAGTTAGGACCTATGAAAGGTTTCTATTACCAATTAGAGGAAGGATCTACAAGAAGGGTAGGAGCTCTGAAGGCTGTCACCAGAATCCTCATCAGGCAGAGAACAGAGACTAGAAAATTTAGTTCCTAAGTCTGACCCATTTTTGCCTTGCTTCCTGTCCTAGCTGTTAAAGCCTCATAATAATAGTAAAATAGCGCAGCTGCCTGACTTTTGCTCCTTCCCTGTAGGTTACACATAATATATCATTTAATCCTCACTGCAAGCCTGTATGGAAGGCATTTTTACTCTCATTCTAGAGAATAAGTGCCTTAGTCCTGTGGATGTGTCTTGTGGGGTCAAGACACTGCCTATCACAGGAAAATAAGTGTGTGTGTGTGTGTGTGTGTGTGTGTGTGTGTGTGTGTGTGTGTGTAGAGAAAGAGTGACAGACACACACACACACACACTGGTGGATCTTCGAAAGTCAAACTTGAGGAATTCTGGTATTATCGCTAAATCAAAGGGGTAGTAATGAAGTAATGCATGGAAGAAAGTGAAGTGTGAAGAGCAGGGAGGAAATTGGAGTGAAATAAAATGACCCAAAGAGAGTCCTGGGTGGGGATGGACCTCCAAAAGCACCGCAGTGATGATGGTTATTTGCTTTACTGACCTTGTTATATGAGCAGATTTGCTCAACTTAAAGAAATAGGATATATGTTTATCTCTACCTCTGTCTCTAGAGATAGATATTTACTTTAAGGAATTGGCTCATGCAATTGGTTTTCCTTAGCATTTTGATTTCACAGCCTTGAGGCATTTATTTACAGACTTGGATTTGGGTTTGCTTATATAAGCTGTCATGGTATTAGAGCCACCTCAGTCTAATAGCCTCCTGGTTTAATTAATTGAATAGCACCTCTAAA